CTTTTCCCTGGAGAAAGACTACCCCAGGCACTGAAGGTCATACAGAGATAATAGAAACATAGAAGACATTTCAGGAATTAAACTTAACATTCCAGAGTCACCCCCTCTCTCATGGCATCCAGGGCTTGAGAAAAGCCTAGCTGACAGCAGTCAGGAGGGCGGGGGCCGGCTTTATTCAGCCACCTCTCTGAATATCCTCCAGGTCCCCAGGAGGGGGCAGTCACCAGAGGTCGCCTTCCAGGGAACAGTCAGGGTTGATTTCTTTTAGGATTGACTGATTTGATCTTCATGCAGTCAGAGGTCATTTCGGGGGGGAACGCAGTTCGGCGGGGCACATGACAAAGCCCCGCCCCCTGCTTCCGGCCGCCCCGCTTCCAGCCCTCATTCAGCCAGGAGGAGGCAGGAGAAGAGGGAGGGTAAGTTGCTTCCTCCCCGCCTCTCCCCACCCCTGCCTGCTTGGGGCCAGGGAGGGCCTTGGTGGGGCTTCCTCGCACTCCCGCTGGCCTTGCAGGTTCACCGCCGGGCCCCTGATGTCAGGGGGTGTGGCATATGCTAATGAGTTCCCCTAGCTCTTTTTCTACGAAATGACCCCTGCTTGCAGTCCAAGGGATTCTCAAGAGTCTTCTCCAGCACCATAGTTCATAAGAATCTATATGAAAAATACAAAAAAATAGTTTTCTCACATGTTTTTTTGTTTTTGCCATCAAGTCACAACTAACTTCTGGCGACCCCGAGGGGTTTTCGAGCCAAGAGACCTTCAGGAGTGGTTCGCCATTGCCTGCCCAAACTTCCTTGGCCGTCTCCCCTCCGAGTCCTAACCAGGGCCGACCGACCCTGCTTAGCTTCTGAGATCTGACACGATCGGGCTAGCCCCGGGCCATCTAGATCAGAGCCTCATTTCTAGTGAGGGAAAAGCAATTCTGTATGTACCCGTGGGGACCCTTCTCCGTTATTATTCGTTTGCTCACTCCAGGACTGATTTTTCAGACGGCGCTTTCTGAGAACAAGCCAGGCTTCCCCCTGACGCCCGCCGTTATTGTAAGATTCAGCGCACATTTGGGTTTCAACTGCTTGCTGTAGGAATCCAGAGTCTTTGACGGAAACAGACAAATGCCTGTCCGCAAGGGGAAAGAGAGAAGTCAGTGTAAGAGGGCCTCATGCTGAGAACCTTTTAGAAGGGATAAACTGACTGAGCAAAGGATGGAATAACTTGGCTCGAGGGAAGTCCAATGCTAGAGCAGCGGGTCACCAGGTCGTCCTTCAAATGGATATCCCCAAACCACCCCCACCGCGCTTCTGGGGTTACCCTTACAGCCTCTAAAGGATCAAAACAGGCTCACTCTCTAGCGCATTTCATGCTCGGGTGCTCACTCTTCCCCAGTTCGCTTTGGGGGGGGGGGTTTCTCTCACCCCGCCCCCTAAAATTCAGGCACTCAGAACAGCTCACCTGATTTTTAGCTGGAACTCCGCTAAGGAGGCGGGATGTTTGATTTCCAAAGGGAGCATCCTAACGGAAGTTACGTTCTAAAGTGCACTTTCTCGCATCTCTTGTGGGCAGGTTCCCTCTAAGCTGAGTTAGTGTGAGCTAGCTCACAGTTTTTTAGCCTCTGGCTCACACATTTCTGTCTTAGCTCAGGAAGGGATGGCTCCAGAGCAAACTAATTTACACAGCAGCCAAGTTGCTCGCTCACAACTTTAATGCCAGTAGCTCACAAAGTAGAATTTTTGCTCACAAGACTCCATAGCTTAGACGGAACATTGCTTGTGGGTGCAGATTTAGGAAGCGGGGCAGAGCAGTTTCTAGAGGCATCCCGTTCCCGCAGTTACATGTCGAGAGCCAGGGAGCAATCGCAGTTCTTGGCATGGGGTAGAGTTGCCAGGTCCAAGTTGGGAAATACCTGGATATTTGGGGGGGTGGAGCCTGGGGAGGGCGGGGTTTGGGGAGGGGAAGGAACCCCAAAAGGGTATAATGCCACAGAGCCTCCCTTCCAAAGCAGCCGTTTCCCAATAGGGGAGATGATCTTAGTTGTCTGGAGATCAACTGTAATAGTGGGGGATCTCCAGGTGCCACCTGGAGGTTGGCAACTCTGGCAGGGAGTTAGAGCTGGAATAACTTGGGGAGGGGGAAATCCTGATCCATACTCTTAAGTTATTTTGGGATCAGACTGGCCACTTTCTCCCTTTGCTTCCTGTTCCCTCTGTTTTTTTTCCCCATGGGTATGCTTAGTCCTTATCAGACCATTGTGTGTGCAGGAAAAGGGGATGTTGTTGTTGTTGTTGTTGTTTTAATTTCTGATTTGCAAAACCGCCTGCCAACAGAGGCGCATTTCTCCGCACCCCCTCGAGTACGTTAAAACTCCCTCCTTGTTTCAGCCTGGGCCGGCTCACTCACTAGGCGAACTAGGCGGTTGCCTAGAGCAGGACGGCCCTTAGGGGCGCCAAACTGAACCCGGCCCCATACTCTGGGAGTTTCTTGATTTTTTGTGTTTTTCATTCTTCCTAAAATGCATTTATTTTTGAAAATTGGTGGGCGCACCGGGGGGGGGGGGCGCCAGAAGGGATCCTCGCCTAGGGTGCAAAATAAGCTGGGGCCGGCCCTGGTTTCAGCCACCCAGTTAACAGTTGGCACTTGGCCGCGAGGTTTGCTGTTTGAGGGAGCAAGCAGGGGAAGGACCCGAGGAATCCGGTCCCATGAAGGGGATAAAAACATTTAGAAACTTTTCTCCCGCACGTACAAATCTTCCCCCTCCAGAGTTCTGTAAGCTGTCCGACTGGCAGCCCACTGGCCACTGCAGCTCCACATCCCCCACTTTCCCTTGAACTGGCTCTCAGCATCACACGCTTTCGCTGGTTCCCAAAGTGGGCAGTACTGCCCCCCAGGGGGCGCTGAAACAATCCAGGTGGGCGGTAGGAGCCTTGGGTGCAAATTAGTCACTGCATCTTTCCGTCCACTTTTTGAAGATAGATTTCGGGGGGGGGGCTGAGTAATATTTTTTCTGAAACGGGGGCGGTAGGCAGGGGTCATTTTGTAGAAAAAGAGGTGCAGGAGCTCATTAGCATAACGTATTAGCATAACTCATTTGCATATGTCACACCCCCTGACATCACCGGAAGCGTGTCAGAAGGCAACACCCACCACTCAGGCTCCACTGGACTGTCTTGGATTGCTAGCTATTGGGGGGGGGCATGCAGATCTGTCCTCGCAGAGGAGGGAGAGCTTGGACCTGAATAAAACTTGGTCTTAAAGGTGCCACTGGATTGTTTTGGACTGGGGGGCCGGGGGGAGCTCTGCAACTTACCTGGCTGCTTCTTGCTCTGACTGACAGCTTCTGGGAGCAGGGGGCGGGGCTTGTTGCATGTGCCCGCCCCCTGGGCTCTTTGCTGCCGGAGCTCCGCTCCTGTGCGCTCCTGCAGGAAATGACCCCTGCTTGGACGGGAGAACCACCAAGGTAGTCCAGGGTTGCCACACAGAGGCAGGCCATGGCAAACCACTTCTGAATGTCTCTTGCCTTGAAAGCCCTGCAGGGTCACCGTTAAGTCAGGTTAAAAAAAAAAAAAAGCTTTCTAGAGTCAAAGCTCTCTTATCCCACAAAAATCTGGTTGGTCTCTAAACTGCGCTGGGACTGGAATCTGACTCTTGTACTACAGACCGGCACAGGCACCATCCGAAACGGTCACCGTTCGTATAGAATCCCTGGCCTCATCTGTCGGTAGTCTGCAGTTTCTGCTGTTTTTGCGATACAAGAGAGGCGACCCAAAACCATCACAAGGTTTTGCTGTCCCACGCCAGTGTCTGTGTTTGTAGTCTTCCTCAGGTATAAGGTTTTGTGTTCTCACAGCCCCTTGGCCAACGAGCATAGAACTTCCGAGACACAAATGTTTCCAGAGACACAAATGTTTCCAAAGAAAGCCCCCCCTTTCGTTGCTCAAACTGTGTCTCTTCTGACTTGTCATTATTATTATTATTATTTTATTTATATTGATGTCTTCCATGTCATATCCATACATAAATCCTTTTCATCAAGTTTGCTTAACCAAACGTCAGATACATCAGTTTTCCCCTTTATTATTCCCTCCCCCTCCACACACGAGCGACCAATTGAAAGAAAAAACATTATTATATCTGCAACCAGAAGCACACTCTATGGAGTTCTACAAATACATCCTTATTGGGGGGCCCTTCTCTCACCCAGCTGATATACCTAAACCGTTTCTTCCTTATCTCCAGCGCCTTATCTTCCCATGTCTTTCCCTGTCTCTTCTGACTTGTCAGTTCTACTCATCCTCCAGTTCTACCCATCCTCCAGTAGAAAACCCTTTCATTTGATAGAAGGCAGCCAGTAGCAAGCCATTTTTTAAAAAAGCTTGGCAGGCACCAATGGAAGTATTGGCAGCAGGCCCGTAGCTAGGACCTTTTTTTGGGGGGGGGGTGGGAAAACTGGGGGGGGCGCAAGCATCGTTCTTACCTTAAAATGAGGGAGTCTAGCCCTGTCCTGGGAACTCCTGTGGTGCGCGTGCTTTGTGCGCGTGCTGCCGCAGTGACACCACCCGAAAACAACGAGAGGTTGGCAGTGGCAGTGCTGGGGGCCGAGGCGTCGTCAGGGGGCATGAAGGGCGCGGCGGCCGCCTCCTCCCCCTCCCTCGCCATGCCCAGGCAGGTTCGTGGACAGCCCGGCAGGCGGGCTGTGGTTGTTCCTGGTGGGCGGAGGAGCGGGGCTACCAGGTGTGGGCGGCGTTGGAGGCCAACACGCTCCTCAGCCTGCCCACCGGCCTGAGCAAGACGCTTGTGGCCACCGTGGTCCTCCACAACTTCTACTGCTGGCCCGTACTCCTCCTCTGATACTGGAATCAGAGGATTGGGGGAGGGGTCCGCGCGAGCTACAGGCCTGATTGGCAGGGACCGTGGCGCCCACGGGCACCACATCGGGGAACCCAGTTGTAACATAGGCATTGTTTGCCGTTTCCCCATACAGACAGCGGCGTTCCCGAACCGGCCGTCTGCGTGATCACCACCGCGGCCATCGACGTGCATCAGCCCAACATCTCCTCAGACCTCTTCACGGTGGACATGCCGATGAAGATCGTCGGAAGCAACGGGACTTCCACCAGCGTCACCTCCGGCAGTGCCTCCAGATCCACGGACAGCTCCGTCACCCGAGCGCAGAGCGACAGCAGCCAGACGTTCGGCTCTTCCACCGACTGCAGCACAACCCGGGAGGAGTCGTCCGAGTACTGCCCCTTGGAGAGGGCCCGCAACGAGGCGAAGCGCAACCAGGTGGATCCTTCCGCCCACCGAGTGAACAGCACCGTGGTTCAGGAACTGCTCTCCTCTCTGTCCGAAGATTCTTGCCTGACGCAAAAAGGACTGGACCCGGTCAACCTCAAACTGCCCAGTCCTGCCGGGTCTACCAAAGCCAGCCCCGAACTGGAACACCGCATGAATATTTACAACAAGAAGAACCAAGAAAGCTTTGGGGTCTTTCAGATAAAGCCAGTGATTCACTTCCAACAAAACGCGCCGGTCATCGACGACAAGTACGCATCTTTGGAATCCAAAGGGGCAAAGCTAAACAGGATCCCAGATTCATAGTCCTTTTGCCACTAAAAGGGGGGCGGGGGAGATGCTTCTCAAGGGGGACACTCTGAAGCTTTTAAGGGGGGCCCGCCTGAACCATCCCCGGGCGGGTATCTTGCGTGGATTGGAATGAGTAATCATTTTTTAAAAAAATGCATGAGTTGTGAGAGCCAGCACGAGAAAAAATGGAAAAAAAATAACCACTTGACATTTCTACCATCTGAAGTCCTTGGGCTTCACCCCCTGTCCAAGGGGGGGCAAGGGAACCGCCGTTAAAACGACGACCTCAAAGATGTATAGATTCTTAACGTGTTTTTTAAAAAAAACAAAATCATACACAGAATCCCACAATTTTTATGGAACTCTGGACAATCTTCTATCAGGTGAGGTTTCAGCAGGGTACGATAACATGCAGATACATAACTTCTCTCCTTCTACAATTTCTTACAGTTTTTTCCTTTGTACATGACGGCTTAAGAAAAAAGCAACCCTTTGTATAAATATGGTGATTATTTTTGTTCTTCCTAAGGAGGAAAAAAAGAGCCACTTTTTCAAGGAGCACTTTGAATGACGCAGATCAAAGAAATTAAAAAGTGTGATCTCTTTTTATTTTTTGGCATGAACTCTGGGGAGAGAGAAAAATATTTTGACAAAAAAATAATAATAAAAAGTTGTCGCCTCTGGGACAACAGAGTGAAAACGGACGTTTTACAGATACAGTTTTAATTTTAAAAAAATAAAGAAATTTCTAAACGTCGTCTCGTTTTTCTAACCAAGGAAACTGGTAACAAGCATTTTGCTTTACAGGGTTGTTTTGTTTTTGTTTTTTTAAGAACACGTTCTTAATGTAATTAATTAATTAAACTTAATTAGTTTTTCATCATTTCTGTGTACTTTGCCCCATCTTCTCTACCACTCCTTGGTGTGTTGCGTTTTCTTATGTCACCGTCGCACGAGACACCCAAACACGTCTTCAGCACTTGAGCCACTGGGTTTAACAAATCAAGCTTACCTTCTGAGACCCAGTTTGGTGTAGTGGTTAGGAGCGTGGACTGTAATCTGGGAGAACCAGGTTTGATTCCCCACTCCTCCACATCAGCTGCTGGTGTGACCTTGGGTCAGTCATAAATTCTTTCAGAGCTGTTCTCTCAAGGGCAGTTCTCGAGAGAGCTCTATCAACCCACCTACCTCACAGGGTGCCTGATGTGGGGAGGGGAAGGGAAAGGAGATTGTCAGCCGCTCTGAGACTCCTTTGGGTAGTGAAGGGCAGGGTACAAATCCAATCTCTCCTTCTTCTGGCCACCTGTTGTTAACTCGATGCACAAGGAGGTATTTTTAATATTGGACATTGGTAGAAGAAGAAGAAGAGACTGGATTTATAGCCTGCCCTTTACTCAGAGTCTCAGAGCGGCTTACAAACTCCTTTCCCTTCCCCTCCCCACAACAGACACCCTGTGAGGTCGGTGGGGCTGAGAGAGCTCTGACAGAAAGTGCCCTTTCAAGGACAGCTCTTGTCAGAACTGTGGCTTGCCCAAGGTCATCCAGCAGGTGCAAGTGAGGAGGAGCGGGGAATCAAACCCGGTTCTCCCAGATTAGAGTCCGCACACTTAACCACGACACCAAACTGGATCTCTGAAGTTTATGCTTCAAGGATTCCAGTCTTGTTAATATATCTGGTAGAGTTGTGGTAAGGCACCAAAGGATTTCAGTAAGCCAGCTATCCCCTGCATTCACTTGTGGGAATTCACCAGCTGGTTATTTATAGTCCCCCCTGTCTTTCTGAGACTCAAGGCGGATTACAGTATCATCGCTACAATAAACTGACCGACTGAGTATCATCGCTTATCATCTGGCTATTCCTGGTGTTATCAGATTTGGCTACATTCTTGTGTGTGCGTCAAGTGCTGTCAAGTCACTTCTGATTTATGGCTAACTTATGAATGAGTGTCCTCCAAAATGTCCTGTTAGCAGCTTTGCTGAGGTCTCAGAAACCGAGGGCCATGGCTTCCTTCATCAGAGTCAATCCACGTCACGTCGGGTCTTCCTCTTCTTCCTGCTGCCTTCAACTTTTCCTGGCATTATTGTCTTTACCGGTGAACTCTTATTATGTGACCAAAGTACGGTAGCCCCAGTTGAGTCATTTTCACTTTTAGGTGGAAAGTTCAGGCTTGTTTTGATCTAGCACTCACAGATTTGGCTTTTTGGCAGTCCACGGTATCCGTAAAACTCTCCCCCAGCACCGCATTTCAAAGGAATATTCTTATTATATGGTTTAAACTGTAGATCGGGCTTGTCTGTACGGAGGTTTCACTAGTTAATCATCAGAGACTCGCGGAGCTAGTTAGACAAGGGGTGTCGAACTCATTTGTTACGAGGGTCGGATCTGACATAAATGTCACTTTGTTGGGCCGAACCGTGTGTGCCATAAAAGGTAACGGCAGGTGCCGGAGATGTAAACTGTAAGGACAGCAGCTGGTAAGCTCCAAGTTGGTGTAACCTCACTGCAAGCCCTCATGCACTGGGAGGGAGGTGCAAAGGAAAACCCCCATGGGTGGACTGGACAGCCAGTGATGCAGCACTGGGCAAACACTCCTACACTGCTTGACTGCTGCAGACAAAGTTGTTCCGCCATGCTGAAGCCACAATCGGGGTGGCTCCCCCCCACTCCCCCCTGAGCAGTCTCCCGTTCCCTCCCCGACACTAGACGATCGCGGGCCACATAAAAGCCCTGGATGGGCTGGATCTGGCCCCCGGGCCTTACGTTTGACACCCCTGACTTAGACCAACTTTTTTTTTTTTGCAGCCAGTATCGTTGCTTTCAGTGTCTTGAGAGTGGTCTTGAATGACAACGGGAATCCTTGCGGTCTGTATTTGCCAGAGGCTTCTGCACGTTAACCAAATCTGTACTTAGAGGGCATTGACTTCAGCCAGCTGAGATGCTGTTTGATTGTTCTAAATGTTTAACAAACCAGGTTTTTCTTAGGTCTCCTCTGTGTGAAGGTGGCTGACACGGCTGTATGAATTTGTCCATACCTGCTTGCCGCCAAGGTAAGACATTGAACGCTTTTTATAACATCAATCCCTATTCAAGCTCCAGAGGTCTCTTGTGGCGAAGTCCCATAACTGTTGCTGCTCTGGGAACTGCACGTGAATCTGCCTGATGCCGGGTCAGACCATCTGTCCATCAAGATCAGCGTTGCCCACTCGGACTGGCAGCGACTCTCCACAGGCTCAGGTGGAGGCCTTTCACATCACCTCCCGCCTGGTCCTTTTTCACTGGAGTTGCCGGGAACTGGACCAGGAACCTCCTGCTTCCAAAGCAAGAGGCTCTTCGTTTTTTTGTTAATACATTTTTATTTGAATTTTTGAAGGGATTCAGAGTAAGGAAAAGGGAAAAGCATAAAAAATACAGTTGTCAAAAACACAATATAAAGGGCAACTTTACAAATGCCGTGGACATTCCTTAATCAAAAATGTATATGTATACAATACCAGGTACCGCTTCGGTGGGAAGGTAACAGCGTCCTGTGCGCCTTGGTGTTTAGTCATGCCGGCCACATGACCACGGAAATGTCTTTGGACAGCGCTGGCTCTTCGGCTTTGAAGCGGAGATGAGCACCGCAACCCTAGAGTCGGACTCGACTGGCTTTCGAGCAAGGGAACCTTTATATAAGATTGTCACATATGGTAACATAGTGTTTTTAATATATTCTACCTTTTGCTCATGATAATCTTTTATATCCTATTTTAGCTGTCTTAACTATTATATAAAATAACCTCATTAAAAATTTGTAGCATTTTCATACAACAATCATTACAATAGAAGTCACACAAATATAATACCCTTACTATTTCTTATCATATGATATTAAGCCATTCAAATGCGTAACTACATTGATTGACTATAATAGTCACAGAAGACTCACCAATTATTTTTGAATTCTTCTTTCCGCCTTTGATGAATATAGTTTGTCCATTTTGCCATCATTGCATATTCTTGCATCTTGTCTGTCCAATGTTCAAGAGTTGGGCAACCCTCCGCTTTCCAGTTGGCTGCAAATACTACTAGCAAGAGGTTCTTCCACTGAGCTGCAGCCCCTCCCCGTGGATCTTGCAAGAAGAGGCAACGCCAACATTACTCCTGTCCCCTGTCAGACTCCCCACAGCATCAACGAAGTACACACTTGCAGAAAGGTTTTACTTTATTTGAAGCTATAGGTGCATAGACAAGATCACTGTTCAGAATGAGGGGGGAACAAAGAGCATGGCATGTTATAGTACATTCAAACTACTGAGGCCCAATTGCGGGAGTTCCCCACGCGCCATCGGGCCTGGGAGCTAACACTTCTAGGCAGCATACGTTATCTCCTTCCCACAGTGTTTCGTGAGATCCCCAAGCAACTATTCAGCAGCAGCAACCACCTGTGGCCTTGAGAGATATAGACGTTTCGGCAGCCAAGCAATTAAGCGCATCAACAGGTCTACATATGAAACTGAAAGCAATCAAGCGCATACAAGGAGAAGGAAACAAAACATTGGCAGCTTGCTGACATCCCCAAAACAACTTGAGTTGCAGGCTGTGTTCCCTCTAAGCTGAGTTAGTGTGAGCCACCTCACAGTTTCTTAGCCTCTGGCTCACACATTTCTGTCTTAGCTCAGGAAGGATGGGACTCCAGAGCAAGCTAGTTTATGCAGTAGCCAAATCGCTCGCTCACAACTTTAATGCCGGCAGCTCACAAAGTAGAATTTTTGCTCACAAGACTCCACAGCTTAGAGAGAACGTCGGTTGCAGGAACTGATGTGAATCCCCTCCTTGTTACAGGAGTAGTGTCGGTATCGCCTCTTCTTGCAAGACCCCCGTTCCCATTCAACCTCCAGCAGTAGGGTTTGGCTTGGACTTTTCGATGGCTAAAGTCGGACAGCAGCAAGAACCTTTCTGTGGTGGTCCGTCTTGTGAGATGCCATATGATCGAAGCAGGCCGTATACGGCATTCGCACCAAACAGCAGGGCCAGGTTTCCCCTCCCACGGAACCGAGGCAAGCAGGGGTTCCCCCAATCTTGTTGAACCTGCAGGCAATGTTCCCTGTCAACTATGGAGCCCTGTGAGCAAAAATTCTACTTTGTGAGCTACTGGCATTAAAGTTGCGAGCAGGAGCTTTGGCTGCTGCATAAATTAGTTTGCTCTGGAGCCATCCCTTCCTGAGCTGAGACAAAAATGTGTGAGCCGGAGGCTAAAAAACTGTGAGCTAGCTCACACTAACTCAGCTTAGAGGGAACACTGCCTGCAGGCACCTTTTGGGATTATGTCACGAGGCGGCGTGCAGAGCCACAAAATGGCTGCTGCAGGAGGCGGAGGCGGCGACAGAATGGCCCCACAGTGAAGATCTTTGTGCTGCCTTGGGCTTCCGGTCGAGCTAAGATGGTGCATTTTTCACACAGCTGCACAGCCAACCAGAAGTGTTTCCCGAGGTCCTTTCCATGCGAGACCTTAAATCCTGGTTCAGCCCTGTCCCCGAACGTACATTCTACACTACATGCGAGAGTTCACCCCTGTAATTAT